ATCAATTGTGCTGAAGGAAAAGAGGGATGGTATTTATAGACCTTGTACAAACCCCTCCTTCAAATGGATTCTCGATTGTAACTCCACAGGCAACAGTGGCTGACCTTATTCACACAAGCATATTTCTGTTACTGACCAGGTGCTCACTGAGATCTTTTGAGATTATTTATTCTAAAGGCATTTCTCATTATAAACAAGTCTGGATATTTTTATTAGTAATCCTGCTGCTTAATGCTGGTTCTGTACAGTATGTTTATGATGGTTTTGGGTAATTCTATATATATGTGGTGCAATTTAATGTTTGTTTTTATGTGGACTCTAGAATAAAAATAAAATGTCCTGAAGCCTTTATAGAGAGTGTTTGGTTGTTTATGTTATTCTTAAGAGCTGCAACCACAATGTTGTTTATTGCACATTAAGCAGTAGAGCATTAGTATTTTCTTGCTGTTTATTCATTTGAATTGAGTTACCTTTACTCTTGCATTAAAACAGATCTCTTCTGCTTCTTAGCCTTACCATTCCAGTACATGAATTCAGGTAGAATTCAGTTTTATGGTTTAGGAACTTGATGGAAACAAGGAGAGATTAGAAACTGGCCGTTTTTAATTAATTCCCAGCGATGACGTTACTATGGCAAAGATTGGAGTACAGTTTTGTCATCGGAGGTCCCAAGGTCACTGCGGGTCAGTTTTCCGAGATTCTTGACTGTCATGAAAACGTAGAGTAATGTTCACACACGTATGACATCCCTGGAAGAGAAATGTGTTGAGTAACTGTTTTGTTTTATTTCCTTTAGGTGCAGCTGTATAGAAGGAAGGCCGGGTCTTGTTTTTTTCTGTGTGGTGGTTTTGGTGCTGTTTCCTGAATGGCAGACTCTCCACCAGGGCCTTAAAAATCAGTGTTACTTTTCAACCAGGGCTTTGTTTGTTCTGGTTAATGTGAATTCTGCATGAATGTTTTGTAATTGTTGCATAGAATTAGTGGCGTTTACATTCATATATTAAAAAGACAGTCCATCATCCAACTGATTAACAGTATAATATTTATGATAACTTACTGGCAATCTTTTGTTCCAAAATGTGTTTTATAAACAGTTAAATAGCTGCCAGTTCATAGGAGCAGTCAGGTACAAGACCATACAGTTTATATTTTATACTTCTATGTGTATTTAAACTGTCCCCCCTACTTGAGTCTTCTGATTTTCAGAAACATATTTTTCACTTTCTGATATATAAAACATTTTCACTGATGTGGGCGGACTCTTCAGCTGCTGCTTTTTTTTTAAATGTCAGTTTCTTATGTTTGGTGGCTCCGTGAAGAGAATAAAAAGCATTTCAGGCATCCTGAGACTATGTTTGGTCCATTTAAAAAACAAACAAGGATAGCTAGTCCTTCACAATCACAAGACAGATTGAGTATAGAATACGCGTGGTATTTTACACAGTGCTGGAGGAAGTCTTTGGTCATGTACAAGATCCTGAAAGTTATTTGGGAGGTTGAAGCAGTTCACAATGGCTAAGGAATGCTGAACACATTTGTGAGCTATATCAATCAGGAATCCCCTATAATATACAGTACGTGGTGATTACATCTTTTGCTTGGTATGTGCAGTTAACCAGGAAATTGTTTTCAGGCAGAACTAATGACAGAACATTACAGCTCAGTTTGTTAGTGCAAGTTGTTAATAACATTTTTTTTTAAAGGTTCCAAACATTAGGAGGCTTAGGTAGAAGTCAGGTCTTTGCATCATTTTCAGTAAGTTATGATTCCTTCCTCTGGGATTAACATACTGTAAGTCTTTAGACACCATCCACTCTCAAATCATGAATCATTCATAACGAGCTCTTTTCCTGCGTTACGAGGTCATCATTCCTATAAACCCCTAAATCACAGCTCCTCAGTACATTTACTGCTTTCTAGGACACCTATTAGAACTGATGACACACATTTAAGAAGCTGTAGCCTGAAGATGTAGAAATGAATTGCAAGTACTGTGCCTTAATTGTTAATTATCCATATCCATGTCTGTGTCTAGTTAATTTGTTGATCAACTATTCAGCTTTCTGCTTTCACAGTGTGCGCAACGTTCTGAATGTGGATCAGATGGTTCAGGAGGGTTGCTGGAACTTCCAGTCAGTCATTTACAGGTTCTAGAAGAATAGCACATGTGACAATGCCTTAGACTCTGATGTAAGCGCTATGGAACACAAGACCCATACCACATGTCCTGGCCGCTACTGAAACACAAGGCAAATGTGAATTATTCCCTTAGGAAATGTAACTGTAAAAAGCAAATTAGACAACCATTCAAACAAGATAGCAAAAAGAGAAGAAATTTGCAGCTGAACTGAAGAATATACATTCAACAGTCTATGCAATGTCCTGTGTTAGAAAAAGAGTAATTCGTGTCATTATTGAATGTGATTTCAATTTACTGTTTCTTTTTCCCCTGTATTGTAGCACAAAAGATAAATACAGTGGTCATTCTTTGAATTTTGTTTGCAACTCTAATAAAAACAGCAGGTGACATAAAGGTGGCTTGGAGGATGAGGTTTTTGGAATGGATGGCCGAAATGGTGAGGACTACTAGCTGTGTGACAGAACGCACAAAATATGTACAGCTCTTATTTTGCATTTTCACACATAAACTTCAGAAATAATTATATTAAAATCAATCTAGAAATGGTGAACTTTAGACAATTCAACGATCTTGCAAAATAAAATCTGATAAACATGTTCTTGAATGCCCTTCGTGCACATTACTACATTTCTTCTGTGAAACAGGGAAATTAAGATATTTCCGGCTCCTTAAAATTATGGATTAAAGAATTTCCAAGCTTTAGAATAAACAGGAAACGGGGCGTAACTCTTGATGGCTGCTGTAGATTGGACTGCAACCAGAATAGTAACAGTGATTCCAATGTTTTCATATTTTTGCATGACTTAAATCTGAAGTAGCAATCTGTTGCTGGTTCCATTTGGTGGGGCTTTACTGAGAAGTTTCTTTACTTCTCCTGATGGAAGTTATTTTGCTATTAAAAGAACAAAGATAAAACCATAAGAGGCTTCAGTCTTGCTCAGCTGCAGTCACTCCAGAATAGGAATCATCACAAAGTGTGTCCCGATCTGAATCCTGGATTCGTCAGAGGCGATTTGCTGAGGGGCTACAAAATCTGCAGACAAAGGGCGGCACATTGGCATCGCTCATCGCAGCGCTGGGGTGCCCTCAGCATGGGCCCACAGTCTAAACACAGGCTGGTAGGTCATTTGGTTTCCAGGAAAACTGGCCCTGGTGCCTGTGTGTGCGTGTGTGTGTGTGTGTGTGTGCGTGCGTGCGTGCGTGTGTGCCCTGTGGGGGATTGGCGTCTCGTACAGGGCGTAGCCTGCCTTGCTCTCAAGGCTTGCTGGGAAAGGCTCTACTCCCGTGGCCCCGAGCTGGATAAAATAACGAGAGGACGGATTGATGGTGATCCGATTTTCCTGGAAACATTACATTATTAATGACACAAATTAATTATGCTAAACTTGGTGTTCAATTCCATGTTTTCATGGTGCAAAGTGCAAATCGGGGGATTTTCCTTCTTGCACTCAGCAGATTGCTTGACTGAGTGCTGCAGGTTCCGTTTACTGTATTGCAATGATCACGTTTTGTTCCTCCCTCTTGCATTAACTGGGCCAATGTGCACACTGCCAGCTGCACCAAACAAGCTGCCGCCTGACCCCCTGTCTCAGAGACTGTAGGACTAGTAAGGGTCTCATGCCTGACCACTGAAGCCTCTTACAGCCCTCTTCCGGCCCCCAGAAGGTCACGACTCGGAGCAGTCCTGCTCCGCTTCTTCAGTGATTTGTGCATGCGACACATTAGCTATTTCTCAGTTTTCTGCTGCTTAAATCTGTATTACACAACTGTAAAAGCCTCAACAATATCAACATCTTGTAAGAAATGTCCAGCACGTGTGCATAGTCCTGTTCAGTTTTGTTCGAAGACAGAAACATGTTAATTACTTGAGCACATTTTTGCCAAGTTCTGCGAAACCCTTGGCAGTATAGTCCACGCCTGCCATCTGGTGGCAGTCCCAACTAATGACAACTCGTTAAAGAAATGTTTTCTGCCTGTACTGTAAGCAGGAACAGGACATTCCTATGGCTCTTAAAGTAATGTGAACATATTTGAATAAAATCAGAGGAAAATGTCACTGCAAGACCAAGCTTAAACGGCTACAACAAAACACTGAAACTGAACTATATCGGGGCACAGCCCTTTCATTCCCCAGTTGTAACCCCAGTGTCCAGGCCAAATTACCCATTGGCCCTTACCAATCATGGCTTCCAAATAATCCCCCTCTATGAATTGGCTACATTACTCTGCTCTCCTCCCCACTGAGAGCTGATGTGTGGTGAGCGTTCTGGCGCACTATGGCTCCTGTCGCATCATCCAGGTGGGGCTGCACACTGGTGGTGGTAGAGGGGATCCCCATTACCTGTAAAGCGCTTTGAGTGGAGTGTCCAGAAAAGCGCTATATAAGTGTAAGCAATTATTATTATTCCACATTTTTATATCTGGCTCATTACTTACATGAATTAAAACATCACTGATTCATGGGGTCAGATCAATTCAGTTTACTTTGAAAAGCAGAAAGTGAAAATACAGTGGTACTGGGGATTTGTTTAAATAATGCTTGGATGATATTAGTTATGTTGAGTAACCAAAATAACATCTCTAAAAACAATCGGTCCTTTTCCTTTCGTATAAAAAAGCAGAGATTAGTAAATTAGCAATATATGATCTTATATTACATGGACATTCAGTCTTTATCAAACACAGACAAGAACTATATCAATATGACAATAAGCATTTATGTCTTCTGCACTATTTAAGAAAACAATTAATACATACATGTAGGTAATGATAGACTGCAATTCATTTCAGGATTTTAAATGGTTTATAATTTTTCTAAAAATGACAGTTGTACTGTTTCTGTCTCTTTTGCTCCGTTTCCAGATCTGTTACCACTTTTACCCCATCAGTTTTGTTTGGCATTTTATTCAATTTATACAAATATTAAAGCAATCTAACCGCAACATCACTCACGAGGTGCTTCACAGGGGGGTTGTCATTAAAAAAAACCTTGCTAGTGTTACAATCTGTGTGTGGCTCATGCGTCAAATTGCACTTAATCCATGATGCACTGCTGAGCGTACACGTCTGACCCTGCCTGCTGTCCCTTTCAGTGCTCAATTCAAATATAACCAGCTGCAAGCACTGTTCAGATAACTGCAAACTTCGGGTTGATCCCACATCAGCAACAAACACTTCTTTTTTTGGGAGGTGTCGGAGAATGGATTGTGACTGTGGCAATGTTTATTACACCGTCCCATTAAATTCACAATGTTCTAAATGAAAAAAACAACAACTAAATAAACATTGTGAAAAAAACAAGTAACCTATTTAGCTTTCATTCCAAAACTGATCAATTAGCTACATGTGTAATATTATTATAAAAAAATCCTATCTATAGTATGTTATTTTGCAATGTATTTGATCATTAGTTATGAATTCTCATAACTGCGATCTGTTGTGTATTTAGTTATGGATTTACACGATTCACCCCCCCCCCCTTTACATTTTTATACTTTTTTCCTGGATCATTGTGAAAATACACGTGTCAGTGTTGCACAGAAACTATACTGCAAAACAATCAACATTTCACAGTGCAAGGGATGAGGAGGAGGACAGGGGTCAGAGGACAGTCCTCCAGTTTAACTACCTTGTAAAAGCTCTTCATGATAGGCACATCAATACAGATCAGACAGGGCCAAACCAAAGATCAGCTGACACAGCCACCAGGGGTCGCCATTGAGCACAGCAGAGTATTAACCCCCTATAGAAGGCACTAGACACTTTTCCTTTCTTGTTCTGTGATGTTACACTTAAGATGGGGTGTCATGTGGACAGCCAGCTTTCCCGTCATACACAAGGGCTGAAAGACAGGAGCAAAGCAGTGCTGATAAAAGCACAACTGTGAAGTCTAAACACAGGGTCCCCTTTAAAGATGCCCTGCCCCAGCAAGAGATAGCACTAATGTGGATTTACAGCAGTGCTTGATATTGCATTTGTTTTGGGTTTTTATTTTTTTGGTTTCCCATGGAGACAGTGATCATGATCTCTCAAAAACTCTAACTGTTTTGGCCTATAAGTCACCATCGCACGCTAGGCTTGTTGAAGGTCACACACAGATCTTAACCTTTAAATGGAAGAGTTGCTGGTTCATTCTGTCCACAATAGTTCCAATATTCAGTTCTTTAAACATTTACAACTAACAAAATAAACACTCTTGCAATAGTATAAGGCAGAGACCTAGTACAGATTTACTACTCATTTTAAAGTGGTTTACACAAGGTACACATGATAATTAAAATTCATGATTCAGTGCCTTACTCTTGCCTTTATTTTTCTGGACAATGAAGTCTCCTGAGAGGCCAAAAAAAATGAAAGTTTGGTCAAACAAACATCAAACTCCTTGCCTGTTGACACAAACATAAAGCTAAGAAAATCACAATTCAGACTGACAGAAAAACAAACCCTGTAAAAAAAATACAAAAGACATTAAACTAACTAAAAGCAAAATAATTTGGATTAATTTGTCTTATGTTAATGAATTAAGCTAATACCAATGATTGACACTTTCACCCTCACATAAACCCTACAGTTATGAATAATCATCCTTTTTTTTCCACAGGTGATTTAGAGATTTTAGTAGACTGTGACAGAATTTGTACAGTATATGTTATCACCCCAATCCCTTTGGCTTTGAACAGACTTTTCCTGTCTACTGGCTTGATGTTTGACCCTTAAATCCAAGATCAGACATCTAAGTAATTTTAAAAGAGAAAATATATCAAGATTATTCACACTACAGCGGTAGATCGATTTAAGTTTCAAAACAAAATGAGTCAAAGTACTGCTAGAACAAACTGCAAAGGTAAGAGAAACTAAGGCGAATAAAACCCAATATATACACACACATTTCTACAGTCTCACTCTAAGAATGAATCCATATTAACTCCAAACTGAAATTGCTAAGACCTTTCAATCTCAATCACAATTTAAAGGTGCTAGCTATTAACCATTTCATCATAAGATAGCCATCTTGTATTCCTGCTACTATTGAAATTCATTAGGAACACACAACCAGCTACAATGCAAAACCAAATTCATTTTGATAAAAATTATCCAGGCCAGAAGAATTTATCCCTAACCAAACAAATTTTAGAATTTAGTCAGAACTACAATGACTGCTTCCAAAAATTAAAAAAAAACATTGCACAGATGTTACATGAAGACTAGAGCCGATGACTGTGAAAGTCCCACGGATTTTCTAAATTAGATTATTTCCAATTTCCAATTACAATTACTGTGCTCAGTAATCCATACCAAATAAGCAAGTGGACTACACATTTAAATACTTGTTCCACAGTTCATTATCATTGTTTTACACAGGTGAAAATGTTACAAAATAAAAACAAGAACTTGCTGTTTTTGTAACTCACAGCAATACCAAACAAATAGTTCACACAAGTTAACATACAGGGCAGCTTGACAAGTTATTCTGAAATTGTCTCCAACTGCTGTAATCTTATTGACAAGGGAAACTGGGGGGAAAATAAAAGATCTAAAGTAATAAACCAATCATAAAAACTGATAAAAGATGGCCTTTCATGGCACAGGCACAAGTAATCAAGAGTTCACAGTCTGGAATATACCACTTGCATCTATTTAAAATTTGCTGCATCAGGGATTCAGCTGAAGGAAGGGAATGTATCCAGATATCAGTTTGCAACAGCTATACAAAGCGTTTTTAAGAAAAGCTCGGGACCGATAAGAGTGGCCAGGGTCTTCCTCACCTCTTTTACTTTTGACTCCTAATCCTCCCAAAATGCCTAGACATAAAAACTACAGCTGTTTTTACTGCACCTCTCCTGCAGCCAGTGCCCTCCTCCTCCTGTACCATCCTATGGGGAACTGGCTGCCCTCTGTCAAGCAGGTCCAGTCTTATGCCAACTTCTCCATCAATATTCCTACAAGCATCGTCTTATTGGGCGTTATTTCTCAGGATCCATTTTTCTAAAATTAGTTCTGAAAATTAAAAAAGCAAATCCACACGATTAAAAGCCTATCACAGCTGCTAACTAGAATTTCATAGAACTGCTCTAATAAAATCTCACCTTTCTAAACACAGTAGTGTATTTTGATATATTAAAAATGAGTTAAGGTAAAACGCCGGGTTTTAAAAAATACTACACCAAAATTAGATATGCACTGGACCTGCTCATTACTTCACTGGTCATCGGACTAGAAACGGCTTTGACTACACTGGGGATAGCTGTCTCAAGACATTATAAAGGGCAAGGGGGATGTTACAGCTCATTTTATTTATTTTTTTCTTGTATTGCCTGAAGAATTAAATTCCTACGAAGGGTAAAAGCAAACTCTCGCCTTTAAACTAGCTAGGAACGAGGACTGGAAACCCTAGAGAATAATACACAGCCGACGCCCGTCGAGTTTAAACCGATGACTTAACAGGCACGTCCGTCTGCCTACAGCGACACTGTGCTGCAGGTGGCATTCCGATTTAGACAAAATCAACCCAATCGTGTAAGAGGGACACCAATCGTTTAAGAGGGTGATATTTTTTCTTCCCCATTTTTCACCAATGAACTCTCCAGTAGGTCTCGGACTAAATGTGATTGTTTCTGTGAGGGAGGACATTCCTTGCACAAATGCGAAGACAGTTCTTGAGGCTTAATTCGCGGCGTTAGTTCCATTAGCGGAGCTCGGGTCGCCGGCGTTCAGCTTCTCGGCTTCTGGCTGTGTGGTCTGAGTGTCGCCAGCTCCTCGCGGGTCACTCGTCCACGGCAGCCCTCTGGTCTTGAAAAACACCCCGAGGTCGAAGACGAACGCTAGAGATGCCAGGAATCCAAAGGCCTGGAAAGAAAAATATTTTTTTTTTTTTTTTTTTTACGGACGCATAAGGAAATTCCGAAGAGGTCACATCACAGTGGTGGACAAAGAAAAATACACAAAACTTTAAATCTCAATACGATAAATGAAATAATAAATACAAACACACTACATGTGAAAACTACATACCGCACAAAGGAAGTGCATGTCTGGGGGGCGAAGACAGTGCTGGTTACCCCAACTACTTCCTCACACCCCTGACGAAGTTTAAAATAAGTGACACTGAACGAATGAGTGGCACTTTGTCAAATTTGCCTCCCAAGCACAACCGGATGCCAGAGCAAGCTTAAATATCTATTCACTAATAAAGAACAGCAAATGTTCATTCTGCGGTGACCTCTTTCTTTGTCCTCTGTGTAATTCCGTTTCTACTTGAAAAGAAACAATTCCAGCTAAAACAGACACTAAGCTGACTGCTAAGATATGAGCTGCATGGTTCTCCAGGGTTCAGCAGAAAAAAGCGTTAGAGCACCACTAACAATCCAAATGAGTTCATTTTGATGCAGATCCTCCTTAGTACCATAAAATACTAGATTTTATTAAACACGTACAAAAAAACATCAGTGAAATCAAGCAAAACAAATGAATTTTACAAAGTGGATCATGTGCACTATTGCTTTAAAATGTGCTGCCCCATTAGCAGCTAACTTCACATTTCCCGCATATATCAGCTGTTAATACACTAAGAAGAGGTAAAAGGTTCTGCTAATAAAGCATGCAATTCAATCTGGTATCTTTTCCTCTCAGCTGAAGGTCTTTAAATATAAAAATAATTATAAAGAAAAACATTTTGCTTAAAAAGGACATGACGGTTATACCACAGAGCCTTTCTCCAATCCCGTCCCCTCGTTTGCAGCAGCAAAAATAACTGAGGCCAGCAGGAACAAGACTGCCATGACAGCAGTGTACACAAAGTCCTGGGGAGAGAAAAGAGTTTAAAACAGCAGAACTGAAAGAAAAGGAAATGTTCGCCTGGAGATAAACAGCAGTCATCTGCTTAAAGCGGCTCTCCTTTCGGGGTGAGTGGAGTGTCTTCTTTAGTCAAAGTTAAAAACATTGTTTTTGGTTTGAAGCAAGTTGCGCTACAGACAGGTGTAGGCTGAGCAGTCTACCAATTAACACCAACCACTCCACTGTCTTCTGCACAACAAGATCAGATCACTTTATTGGCCATATACAATATTTCTTGAATTCGGAGTTTGTCTTTTCGCATACCCCGGCTTGCTCTCCATGAGACACACAGACAGGGAGAGAAGCTGGGGGTCAGACTGCTGGGTCAGCCATTTCTGGTTGCAGAGTGCACTCTGAAACAATGCAGAACACTTCCCAGAAAACTTACTCACAGTAAGAGCCAGAGTGTCTCATATTCGAACTGACAGTCTGCGGAAGTCTGGGAAGATGTTCAGAGTTCCAGAGCCACAAAGATCATGGTTATTTGGGCACTGTTCTGATGTTCAAAATATAAACTTGGATCGCAAAAGTGAACTCCAGATGCAAAACACTTCTATAAAAAAAACTCTGAACAATTTTAGAACCATTTGCCAGGTAAGAGTCTTCACGGTTCACTTGCATGACGAGGCAGTTCCACACGAGAGCGCTGCCGATCTCCTTACCAGGACAGACCACTTCTTAATCCCGACCTTCTGGTACAGTGGGGTGGCGAGAAGGATGAGCAGCAGGGCTGTGAACAGGAAGGCCGTGCAGCTGACGAACTCGAAGAAGTAAAGCGGACCACAGGAATTGCAGTTGGTGACAACCTCTTCGAGGATGAAGGCGACGAAGGACAGAATCTGAGAAGATGGACAAAAAGTTAGGAAAAGTGGTCGAACTTTAAAAAACATTTAAACATTTAACATAGAAAAAAACCTGGAGAACTTCTTTCCATTTATCACTCATGTCTCATCAGTTCTTAGCACTCTCAGTTATAGTAATTAATGAATCACTTACACTTATATTTTCTGGACTCTCCACTCAAAGCGCTTTACAGGTAATGGGGATCCCCTCCACCACCACCAGTGTGCAGCCCCACCAGGTGGTCAGTAAGACTCACATCTCCTCTGTGTGTCCTACTTCGCCCATGAACTGATTCTATGTAATTAGTTAGGTTTTTCTGCAGATGCAGCTGAGGAGAAAGATATCTTCCTCTAGAAGCTGAGGAGAGAGGTTTTACTCAAGATGAGTCTTCTTTACGTTTGTCTTTATTGTTAAGAGTGCTGTGAAGAATAAAACTACACTCTAAGTAAGAATTGGCCGATATTCTGATTACTTTTTTTAACTTAGCTTTCTGCAGCCCACACACACACCAAAGATCTCCTCCACCTAGTTTTTACAACGAAACCTTCTGATCATTTACAGAAAGATTACTCATTAACTTATATTAGGCTAGAAACCTCATACTCGTGTTTGCTAACCAGAGACAGATAAGGGCAAATATCATCCTCGTATTAATTTCACCCTGTTGTTTCACTTCATATCCACTGCGAGATCTTGGCCCAGTTTGGACCCGCAAGCTCACCACAGGTAAATTCATGACTGCTAGAAACATAACCCATCCATTGTTAAGTATACAGTCTGTTTAAAAACATGTGGTTCTTTTTCCATTCAAAATGACTTCAAGCCATTGCATGAAAGCTGTGTAAGTGGCGCTCTGCAGAGGAGCTGAGGCAGCAGTGGAATACTTGGCTCCAGGCCTCTCAAAGCCCTGGAGGTGTGGCTGTATCCAGCAAAACCCCACTTCCTGTCTACAAACACCAGACCTCGAGACTTACTTAGAACCCGGATGCTGAAGAGTTGCTCAATGCACCTCTTTCGTTTACGAAACAGCATAATCTGTTGTGTAGTTTCTGATGACCTTGTTTATCGTTTCAAGCCTCTGTGTGACAATGATGACAACAAAGAAAGAAATGTGTCTCACCCCCTCCACTGCGAACTCACACTTCCCCCATCTGGGAGACGCCTCTGTGCCCCAAGGTGTAAAACCAACAGACTCTTTCATCCCCACTGCAATCACACTCTTAAACAATACCAAGTAACTACCTTGTCTTTTGTTTCTTTCTCCTGTAACTACAGTATTCTCTTCCCTTTTGGTGATGTTTATTTGTCATTGTCTTTTATGGCACAGTCAAACATAACACAATTTCCCCAAGGGGACAAAAAAGCTTGAATTGAATTGAAATGGCAGAAACGCCGAGGTGCTCCTGTGATTTGTGCGACAGGCAAGAGGAACACGATGAGCAAAAACCACCCCTCAGGCGAATGCACAAGTGTCACAAACCGTGTAGACTGGGCTAAAGACTTCACCAGAACCTCATTATACCTCTTTCTTTACAGAGCAAGTATAACAAGCAACAGGCTTCTCAGCAAAACTATTAAGGTGGAAAATTATATTTTACTATTCATTAACTCTTATTAACTCTTAACAGCAGAACAACATTGTTCTTTTGCAGTTCCAATGCTGTGCGATCTTTTTTGTTAAAAACTTGTTTTATATTACTGTGTCCATTGTGTAATGTTATGGAGATGCCTTAAACATTTCCTATAAAGGAAATGCTTATTTTGAGATTTACATTGGCCAAAGGCAAATATAAAACTCTTATGGACCAGCCATCCCAGAATGCCCTGATTCAGTCAGCAGATCGCTGCAGTTTCAAGATCAGACTGAAACAGCACCTGTCTTTGCACTGTATTAAACTTTCTAATTCCAAGAGACGTTACAAGTCCAATAGTTACTGAGCCCCAGAGTCATCTCACTCCTACTTTTCTGTATTGTCTGTATTTTCTTAAAACAATGAAGCAAAAACAGCAGACTGCCTATATAGCATGTCAACGTCTTGGCCTCAGAATCATGGATGGGTTCTACCTGCTTTTCACTGCAGGTTTTATTTCCAAATATGAGCAAATGAAAGGAATCATTTTCCACTTTAAAAGAGCATAATAAAGAGCTAAGACTCACAGTCATACTGTAAGTAATGAAAAAAAGAAGACGGAATATCAGTTACTAACATTATAAAATTCATTTTACATTTTTTTATGATGATGAAAAATGCAGATACTGAATATGGTGAAACATGCTTGGAACTGATTAAACTGATGAAAACAAACTCGATTATACAGTCACGTGCTACTGTTGATGATGACTTCATCGTATTCTAACAGTGGCCTGCAACTACTTTGCCACTGAATGACCGCACTTCTTAAATTAAAAAACATAGATAATGGGATGTTATTAAAAGTAAATCATGAAGGCAGTGCCAGCTGGACTTGGCCAAGGAAGTGGTTTATCAGGTCAATGCATTCAACTATTTATTTTTATACATTTAACACTAAATGGTCTACCCACCTTTCCCGTTAGTCCCTTTGCACTCAAAATTGTTAAAACGTTATGACAGAAAATAATAAAACGAATATATATAACAAATAAAAGATGGCTTTAGATTAGTATATACTGTGGTTTGAGGAAACAGAAGACAACTGGGCCTAATTTCTTTACTTCTGTCCCCTTGAGTGTATCAGTGAAGTATATGTGCAGCCTCCCCCCGCTGACACACAACAAATCCCTGTAGATAACAGAGATGCTGGTACTGTAGAGGGCAGGACCTCCCTCTTTCATGAACATTTATAACAACATCCAGCAAACCTCTGGAAGGAAGCCAGCGAACTTGGTTTCCTTAACACTTTAGTTTTAGAAGCTTACAATCATAAACATGGACTATAAACATGAGGCGACATTACCTGGATGGTGTAAAAGGTGTATCGTGCATGTGGAGTCATTTGCACTCGGTGGGACAGAAAATTACACCTTGCAGGATACCACACATCTCAAGTGCCTCTCTAAAAAGTACATGCGCACTGAATATTAGCCTGTGCAATAACGCTTGAACAACAAAAGAAAACGAAACATCTTACATTAGTCTCACATGACATGAGGCACACATTAGAACGTGGCAGAAGATCTCCTTACTCGCTTAGGAGCCTTCAAGGCTAACAGGACTGACTTCTGGGACTGGCTGTGTGGCATTAGGAAGATATGCTGCTGCACACGATTAACGTACAATCAAGCAACAGGTTCCAGCCTGCTGTCTATTGAGGTTTCCAAGCAGTGACTGGAAGGCTCCATAAAGTTCTTATGTTGTTTCTTATCTCTTCTGCAGGCTGGAGAGGCAAGCGTGTCCCACAGACGGTTAATTGCGTCATCGGCCAACATGGCAGCCTGACCTCGCACCTTCCAAAACCTTCCAGACCTCCACCACTGACCGTCCTGAAATGTGGAGGACACTCGTCATCGACGGCTTGCAAGTGAAGAGTGGCCCCCGGTCTTCCTGCACCTGCAGTGCAGTGCTGTCCTCGGGGACAGCGGCCAGAAATCCAGCCCCCCCACGCCGACCGCTCCAGCTCAGACACCGCTTGGAGGATTGCTTCATAGAAATGACAGCCGTAACCAAAGCCTGAACATGTGTGAAGGTAGGATTCCTGTGTAAACGAATAGGGTCGTCACAGCAACACTAATTCCTGCTGTTCAGAAACCCCCACACACTCGGCGTTGCCTCTCACACAGCCTGCTCCTCTTCGAGGAAACGGGAGTGCAGGGACTTACTTGCCTGGAAGGCTGCCTGCAGTGTTTTTATTTTCAATCTAGATTTACCCTTCCGCTTCAAGTGCAAGTTTACTGTCACTCGCACCCGAGGACAACGAAAAGCTTACTTGCTGGTTTTCGTCACATGACAAATGACGGACAAGATGACACAACGTTGAGATAAAAAATGACATCACAGTTCTTGGAGAATTACCCTTTTCTGCACAACCAATGTGAATTGTTGTTTTTACTTCAGCAATATTTCCAGAAAACTTGATTAAGTCCACAGATGACCCATATAAGAAGCACGTTGTAGAAGTGTCAAATTACATTGCCCGGTGACAGAATAAAATGCTATATGTGCACCTCTTAACTATATATATATATTTATTTGAAATAATTACTCAGAATAAATGGGCCCGAATGCAATTAAAACCTCCAGCTTCTACACCCACAGAATGAGAAATGTTAATATTTTACAAATCATCTTATCATACAAACATTCTACCCCATTTGTTTACATGCAAACCAGAAAGGTGTAATTTTGACAGCTGAAACGTAAAAAGACAAAAAATAACAAAACTAACAGATACACTGTCTTTTATACAGAACATGCCTTGTAAGCATGTCCTGAAGACACCGCTCCTCTGTGGTTTAGTAATATAGTTTGCATTGAAGGCTCAGAATTATCACCTAATTTGAGTTTGCTCAAGTAGGCGTCAGGTGATCTTTATAATTATATTAAGCATACCGCCGGTTACACCACGTCTACATGTTTACTGCTGGAAGCACTAACAGAATGTCAAAACCTTTTCTGGCTCCAACACTAAATCAGATTATTTATAGCGTAAAGATGCTGGACTAACTTCTTTTTTTTTTATAAAAGTTTCACTACCTTATAACAATTTTATAAAACACCATGAGATCAACTCGTGCTGTAATCTTTGGTTACTTCATTGCCGAGCAGGTTTTTTAATCTTTGCATTTTTCTGGACACTTTTGGCATCCAGTATGAAATACTGTTTTTAACATCGTCAGTCCTTCCTGTTTCCCTGTGCACAAAGCACTGTGTTACAGTCTCCTGGCATGTGCTTAACTAAAAAGACCACATAATATAAACATTTTATTAGTAATAGAAACTACTGTCCCTGATATCAGCACTGACTATACAAGTGGCTGTACTTGTATGTACAGCCTAATGCCGTCTTGCATGGTTCCTTCACTGTTCTTGAAAACAATTTCCACACGCAGTACAGCATCGGTTAGGCATCTTTTACCAAATAAATAGCCTGCAAAAGGCTCTACTAATGATATACTGGCATTAGAAAACAACTGACTTCTTTATGGCATGGGGATGGACAACTGGAGCTTTCAAAAGCTGCCAAATGCCCTCAGGAGCCCCTGTTGTAAAGATCTGATTGCAGCAGAATTTAATCAAGTAGCCAAGCATTCAGCCCAATTTCCAATGCAGCGCTTAAATGCTTGTTTACTGCAGAGGAGCCAGTCATTTGATTTAAAAGTCTTAAACAGGATCATGTTTTCTGGGGAAAGGTTCTGTTGTCCTCTTCTCACAAGAGGTTCTTACAGCACTGGAAAATATCGGTGGCCAAGAAGCGTAATTCTTTAAAATGATCAGGAATGTGATATTGACTCAAATGCTCTGACTGAAATATTTATCTACCCAGTTCTGTAACCAGGGATTGTGCTGCAGGACTGCAGGGGTACAAGTGTAGTATACTATGGCAGTGTTGCAAATTTAAACAAAGCGAATAAATTTGTTGTACTTATTTTTCCTACAAAAACATCTGAATAATATTGCTTCCAGCAGTTCTGAATGTGGCAGTCTGCTCAACTATAAAACTTAAATATATATAAAACTAAAGATTTCAAAGATTTTCTCCAATTTTTAGGGATTTCTGTATTGATAGTTCTCTGAGGCTTAATTACCTACCTATTGTTCGTTGTGGTGAACGGTTTGAGAAATATTCCATAAATATAAAGTTACTGCCTTAATTAGTGCAACAGTTAACAACATCACTCTATTCGTGAAACCAGATATGTTAAGAGCACAAATGTCCTTGTTAGCAAATGATCACCTTCCACTTAAAACTACCGCAACAGACATTTTGAAATACAGTGCTCGACTTTGCTGTGTATTTGATGTATATTTTTTTCGGGGGGAAACAGTAAAAGATATATAACAAATATACACACAGCCTCTGAAGGAACAGTTCAAGCAGACCACTTGTACATGAAGAATTACGGAAATGAGATTTCAAAGTAAAAAGCTTGAGAAAAGGACTTACCACTTCAGCACATTTGATAAAAAAACGAAACTTGTCCAGGTGTTCCGTCGGCACCACGAACTTTTTGTTGGGCTTGTCTCCCTGCGTAGTCGTTGGGTTATATACCTGTTCCCCGCTAGCCATCCTGGTCAAATACCAAACACAAGGACATGTTTAGAAAAAAAATAATTTAAGATTTTATTATAGGTTTATGTGTGTGATTTATTTTTACATGAGAATCACCTTAACTGTGCAACGCAATCGACACGAATGTGAAACCGAAAGTGTTCTATAAGACGCCTACCACCAAACAAAACGTGTTTTACGGAAAAAAAAATATTACGACCATTTATTTCCAATTAAGCACAACAGTCGGCAATGCCACACTCCCGCTTACAGTTAATCAATTCAGCGCACCACACAAAACAACAACAAAAAAAAAACTGCTTCACGCCCTTATCTATTATTACTACGGATCGCAAAAACATGTAGATACCAAGAACCGCGTTCTCACTCCTCAATATCTAAGAAGAAATCTTACAATTACGTACCTGAATCTCAATGGTGCAAAACAGTGAGACGTACTTTTTTTTTTTTTACAATAAAATGTATTTAGCGCTTGTTGCTCCCAGCAAAATTTCGAGAGACTTGTATCCTAGACGTAATTCCCCTGGCCCTTGGTCGCTTCCGCAGAGAACTAAGTTTCGATTTCGCACTTCCGACTCGGAACCGTATTGGGGACGGAACACCAGCCCAGCGACACCGCCGCGCTTCCGGCTGCTGTGGAGCAGCCTGGCTGGCACTTATTCGTTGACAAGTCCAGTGATTTCACTTTCAGGGTCTTGTAATGCTCCCTATCCTCTGCCCGATAGTCTCTGTGCCGTTGTGTGTGCTGGGGGTCGTTTAATCGTCCAGTTTTAATTTTCTTCATGTAAGGCTCACTTTCTGACGGTGCTCCGGCTGGCTCCCCCGGTCCACAGACGTAATGGTAGATTAACCTGGGAAGGTTAACTTTCATTTCTGCAGCCCTGAGGAAAAGAATCATACTAAGCAGTCACACTCTGAAAGGCATCCGTGTAAGACCAGTAACAGCATAAAATGAAAGCGATTTTCCACATTCAAACACCGTGAACGAGAAATGGCTGATGTATTAAAGTGATTTTTTAACCCAGGTGTTTATCGCCGAAGAAATCTAAACATGGTCCATGCTAAGGAAGGATAAAGTTTTATATTAAATAGTATTGTTAGATAAGGCATCAGTGTTTCAGGTACTAGAAACACTATTTGTACTTCAGAGGAGATATTCATAGGCCATTAACAAAATTCTTCTATCAGTTTTCTTTTTTGGCAGAGGGTTAACACCCAAGGACTGGAAAATTGCAAATGCTGTGCCCAGCCATAAAAAGGCTGACAAAACCAGAGTATACATCAAGAGGTCCTACATTAGATCTATTACATGGAAGGTTTGGTAAACAGAACCAATCATCTAGATGGAAATGAGACTTGCTTGACTAACTTGACCAACACCAGTTAACAGATACAAACATGCTATAAAACACATATACAGTACCCTCAGGATTTATTCACACTCCCAATGAAATTATATAAAAATGCTGTCATTTTAATAGGATTGCAAAGTGATATTTGTCATGAATAATTGATGAACAAGGGCACCATTTGTTCCCATTCCTGTTGGATTTTGTAAACCCTCCTCTGGCAGGGATTACACTGAAGTGTGCCAGGAGGTTCTGACACTTTCTACAGGGGGATGATGGACCATTCCTGCAGGCAGAATTTCACCAGGTCCTCCAGACCCTTCGGTGTCCGGTTGTGACCTGCCTTCTTGAGTTCAGACCACAGCAGTTTTACTGGATTGAGGTCCGGGGGTTGAGACGTTTAGTCGCAAACATTTGCTTACAGTTAACCATTTTTGGTCGATGTGGATGCTTTGCTTTGGACCATTGCTGTACTTGGGCATAACTTGTTTGGCCAAGCTTGAGCTTCACAGCAGAGATTTGGCCAAGGTGTCCTGGGATGTATTGGAGTTCAGGATTTCCCCTCCTTTTCCAAGGGCCCCAGACACCCTAGATATTAAAGAACCCCTCAACATAACAGACCCCCTGCAATATGAATTTCCTCTGACCACAAGGCATGGTACTTACGGCCATACAGAAGTATTTTAGCACATTTAAAACACCTCTTTCCCAAGCAGCCTCAGCAACATTTTCTAATCAGTGCACATGCATTCTAATCTTTAATATTGATTGATACCAACATTAATTTGTTGGTTGTTAACTGATGACTATTTTTGCCATCATTGTATATTTTATGTCCTGCAATATGCCTATTCCATTGCTCCTGCATAAGAATCAAATTACATGAAAGATGATATACTCCCTCTGCATCAGGAGGGTATACTCATTAACCATATAGGTAGAAGAAGTAAAGGACACCAAGGTCATCATCCCTGAGTCACAGGGTGGCGATTCTCTTGTCTAGCAATTCATAAAAACAATGATCTTTTCCAAGAAAATACAATGCATCATAGCAGATGTGTATGGACTATGTCATTTTTTTATCATTTTGCCTGGCAGAGATCCAGTCTCTCAAAAAGTGAATTAAACCAGTGCTGAGAATAAATACAACTTTATTACAGGATTACATACCTGATGAATAGAAACATCACTACATTATCTGAAATAACAGGACCAACCATTTTGCAGGTTGCGAAGTATACATTCTTCAGATGAGGCTGACCTCTACCCCTTTCTTCCCGTTATACAGCAGCTAAGTAGTCTCGGACTGTACAAATGTATAGTATCTTTTAGTCAATTCAGTGCCAAAGAACAAGAGGTAATTAGTTCTAGCAAAAAAAACCACAAATGTAGTGCATTACTTTGTTACTTCCCAAGTTCAAATAACTTTAATAAGGTACCTCAGAAGTGCAAGGGCAAAATAGCTGAATTTTCACTTACAGTGCTTAATACACTTTCCAGTTTATGGAATTCATTTTTCCTCCAATCACCTTTTAAAACGTTCCAAATTGTATTATCTATAATACAATGTGTCTACTCAACACTTTTTACTGAGATTTTAAGTAACGTTTCCTGAAAAATATTTTCCCATTACTGCCTTTGGCCAACTGGAGTATATCCAGTTAGGTCCACCTAAATCTATTTCTCTTGTCTGTTAAAGTACTATTAGAATTTGAACTTCTTGGTCTTCAATCAACAAGAAAAAAACAAAAAAAATCCAGTGATTACCATCAGATTCATAGTAATAAATAACACTCTGTAAACCAGACACAGAAGGCATTAGTGGGCCAGTGTTCACATTTCCATATGCAATCCATCTTTAACCTTGCTGCTAGTTATTCAGAATTCCCTTACAGACAGGACATTAATGAGTCAAGCACACAATGGTACACCTGTCCTTTAAAGGTAGTCTGTGTAGTTGGTTGTACTAGGTGGCCCGCAGTAACGCGTCGCGGAAAAGGGAAGACAGACTCGGACAGTAAGTGAGGAGGCTCTGCTGCTGTCTTCAGGATTCATCGTCTTCTGCTGGAGATGTTGGAGTTGCTGGAGAAGACGCTTCAGTGTCTGGTTTACTTGAAATTCGATCAAGCTCTGCCTGCACATCTGTCAAGCCAAGCTTCTGCACTGGAATAGAACAAGTCACAGTTAGTACGCAATCATGCACCAGATGCCCCAGAATGTAGTCAGAAACAGTCCACAGGGAGGTAGGCTATTCCATGCATTCCTTCATTCACAAAAGCATCCCAGAGTTAAGACCTTCCTAAACCAAGAATAAAAACAGGACAATCTCATTGTGCTACACCAAAAAGAAATAAGATGTAATTACAAATTTCCTCATATCGTTTTAGTTCTGATGAGGCAAGTTCAGATTAAGTTCTGTACTTCTGTTCATGTTCCATGAAAATCCTCTTCTATAAAGGAAAAGTTAATCTTTCTTTTTAAAAGCTTGGCATTTTCAACTTTTAATATGAAGCACTCAGAAACAAAACTACTACAAAAAAGAATCTGTTTGTATTCAAAGAAAGATCAAAATCAAACATTGTATGCTTGGGTGTTAAAAACAACCGCATTATCTAGCCATAATAGGAAGTAGAGCAAAGCAATTTCACCAGTAAATCCTAACAGGATAGGGAAGACCCAATGGTTAACCCCTGGTGTGAAATGCACACAACAACAAGCACCGATGCCAAACTACTCAGTTAAATGTGCATGAAACAGCTACAGATGCAACAGAAGAAGCAAATGCAAATGCAAAGGCAAATGCAGCTCAAAAGAACAAAAATGATCATCAAAGACAAGAAAATGGAGACACAGACGTACAGAACACAAGGAGTCAAGATGCAATAAGCCCCGGAACAGTTTAAGATAACATAAAATACTTTTGCAAAGGAAGACAAACGTGATGCTTATGAAGGTAGGGAAGTCACAAACGCCTGCAGTTACACTAAGGAGTCGAAGATGTGTATGACATGGATATGATAAGGAACATGCAGACGTATTGCCAAGCAGCAGTATGAACACATTATATGATGAGGGGAACAAATGAAGGATTCTGCTTGCATGATAATGGTCAATGGCTCTTTAAATGTATTTAGTGCAAGCAAGAACGTTACTCAAACACTGACCTTAACGGGGCCAGCATCCTGTAACTGTGACAGAGGGTGAGGCTACATTAACACAATGAACTTTAACATGACATGCTGTAACATACTGCACATAACCCAGAGTACTCATGGCTGAATGGCAGAATAGACAGGAAAAGTTTTATCTAAACTCATGCTATTAAAATCTAAATTAAAAATGAATGCTTAATCCATCACAATTTTTAAAGTGCATTAAGCACATGCATAGTAGACACTGTTCCTAAAATGAGCTAATCTGGAGTTAAAGAGTTCTGAGCTGGAAAAAATAAAAGAAATTAAAACAAATCAGACTTTGACTAAAAATATAAAAGTATGAGTTACAACAAAAAAAGGTTTCATTCAATTTCATGAACTACCCTTTAAACATCTTGCTGAAAGGGTGTTGTAACGAGCTAAACTGCTGCACATGAGAAATGTTTTTTTTCCCCCTACAATTCAGCAATTTACTTTTTGCCTGAAAAATGGGAAAAAAAGGTAAAACTAGATAACACTGGTTTTAAAATTCCAGTGAAAGTTTAAAGGTTCTAATACAGAAGCTTATAATTGTCCATTATGGTATTGTTGACATTTTTCCCTATGTCAGCCATTGAAGAGAAGGTGGGTTCCAGTTTTGAGGTCAGTCAACCTTTAGGATGCAAATCTTATAAGCAAGAAAGTTTTAAAATTTTTTCACTCCTATTCTTCTACATCATTTGTCCCGTCTAGCTTGATTTTTAGCCTACGTGCAAAAAACACGCTGAGCCATCACGTGCAATACCTGATTTCTTGGCTGATCCAGGGACGCAGCTACCACCCCCTGCTGGACTGCCGCCTCCAGCCCCCGGAGAGCCGGTCTTTTTACTCAACAGGCTGTTGAAGAAGTTTGCCAAGACGCCCTCGCTTGTGGTTCCAGCTATAATCCATCAAAAACAAAAATCAAATCATACAGATGTTCATGTGTAAACTGGCATTTAAAATGCTTTACATGAATGTCTAAATGTTTCTACAGATCTGAAAGGATGTCATGTGTTCTCATGCTTCCACCACATATTTCATTTCCACACCTTTCATGTTGGGGTCGATCTTCTTGGCGTTGGCTGGAACTGGCATGACGCTGGCCACGTTACTGGATCCAGAACGAACTGGTGTTCGTGGAGAACCTCCAGGGCCTCTGTTGGTGGCATCCTAAACAAAAAGAAAAAGAAAAAAGAAAGAGTTCCATTCTTAAAAAAAACACAAGAACGCTGTTAAGATCTGCCCAATATGCATATAGTTGGTCACACATCTCTCTTGATATGAAACCCATTACAGCATTAAAAAGAGAGGCAGAAATCTAAGACTGCTTTGAAAAAGTAGAGAGAGTCAAACTCATTCTTTTTTTAGTGTATGTACTTGATTTGTTCTGGAGAAGTCTGAGAACTAAAGATGTTACTGCATTTCAGAATTTGTTTTCAAGGTCACTTGCACAGTGAAGTGCAATTCACAATTATACAATTATTTTGAACAGATCTGAGATATCCAATACTGTTCGACTTACACCGTTTAATGTTTGCATTAATTTAAAAGGAGAAAGATGCGCTCGATTACCCTTAAAGGAAAACATACTGACCACTGGTCTTCCAGCAGCGACAGGAGGTTGCTTTGCAAGTAGGGACTGAAAAGAAAGATACCACATTAATGCAAGCACACTTCACGCATGCAGAAGCCACTGCAGCACTTCCATTCTTTTTGGCAGAGAAGGTGGCAGGGTACGAAATCACTGGAAGGTCTTGAATTACTATACAATAGGCTACCTAACCTGCATCTCCTGTGATCCTCAGTATTACAGAATTTTTGCCACTAGATCCTAGATTTCATTAATTGGTCATTAGCATGTCATTTTAGAAATCAAGGAGCTGGTTATATCCCAGTATTGTAAAGTGGTGGATGGTACGGGCCAGAGGTTGCACAGCTCTTACTGCAGTGATGATGTATAGCAGAGAACTGGAGCAACTCGTTGTAAATAAGAAGATAAAGCTGTTGTCATGTTACTTCTAAGCGTGCTGTGATAAATGTTGCTAACCCTTGTTCTATCCATGAAAGGCAAAAGTCACCGTCTGTTGGGCTTTTATACAACATTTTCATTTCATATTACTGGATATAAAAATTATATTGCACTGTTTTGGAATGCACTCTTCTTTGTCTTCCCAGATTTATTCATAGACATACAAGTGAACTGGTGAGTCACCATTTACCATGGCTACTCAATATTACCACTTCTTTAAATTGTTCGTGCTCCCCACACATTAGACCTAAAACTAAACATCAAGATTAATTAAAAAATAAACAGGAAACCTTAAAAAACTTAGGTCTACACCAGGGAAATATCAGACTGTCCTTCTTATAAAATACATTTCAGAGTTGAGCGATATTCATTTTGGAATTCATGAACACGATGCTGTTTTCTATAGATACAGACATCAAGGTGCGTATTGCCTTAAAGTCCACTTTTACCATAATAATAATAATGCAACGCCTAAGACAATACTTCCCAAACTGTTATGCTGTGGAAGGGTCTCAGGAGAGCCGCAGAGTCGGAAAAGACTGGGCTTAGGATTGTGATAAACGCGTGGCCCAGGAGATTCGTGCAGTCCCGATGAACCAATGTGAACCAAAAGTCCATTCACAAAAACAAGCTCACGCTTCACATTGCAATTCTACTAAAAAAAGTGAAATTGAATATTTCACATTGAAATCATAATCCTTTTCAGTGAAACAGAAATCTGAAGAAAGTCATTCACACTACACTTTTCTTACCTGCAGCTTTATGAGAAACACTTGATCATCTTCTGCTGCAATTTCTTTTTCATGAACAAACTGGAAAATAAAAAACAATCCAAAGTGACAAGATTGCCTGAATCATCTGTTTTAAAGATTATCAAGTCCCACCTCCAATAATACTTGGAAGTTATCAACTAAGTATTTCATGTATTCAATCCAAGTTAATCGCTCAATTAAGAGCAATCTGACAGGTATTATGATTGTATAAATGACCTCTAAATTAATTTGACAAATCAGCAGTTTGACTGATCATAAAGTGTTCCATGTTTCTAGGAACTGATGGTATAATGGTCACCTATAAAAAAAGTGCCAGACTCAGGATCTCCAGGCTCAGGCTTGGAGACCCCTGGAATAGAAGAGGATCTTCTGCGGATGAGATGTTAAACGGAGGTCATGTTTAACCCCCCGTGCACCATGGGCTTGCACAAGCTGGCCTCCAGAATAGCTGGTCCTTACCTCAGTGAATGACTTTCACTCACTTTCTCTACCTGCTGTGTAATGGGGACGCTGGCACAATGGCTGCTGTGAGTCACCCAGGTGGGTTCTACTGTGGTAGACCAAGTGGGTCACTATATGTAAAGTGCTTTAATATCCTCCAGAATGAAAAGTACTATTTAAGTGTAATGTATCATCATCATCATCTAATGCAGACATACTTTGAAGCATTGAGAAAAGCCTGATGCATAACTAATGTATTGTAGATCTGAAAGTGTATTACCTTTCTAACAGGTGGCTTAACTATTATATCTTCAAAGTTGTCTTCTGCTTTTAAAGACTGAAAGTTTTCATGGAGGATGGCAATCTTTTTTTCATTGTCCCACCCTGCTGGACTAAAAAAACAAAACAAGTAAACATCTAACCAACACAGCAACTGTTTTATATAGCAGAACTTTTATAAAATCTCTCTTCAACCTGAGCTCTATGGGTACAAATAAGTTCCACTCTGAATGCACATTCAACAATCGAACTTTGAACACGCTCACAACTGAAATGATCTCAAATGTGAAGATGTATTTTAATTAAGCAGTGATTTTCTTTTTAGTAACCTTCATTAAATTCCGTCCTTTTTAGTGTCCCCAATAAAACAAAATTTCAACAGCATTTTTTTAGATGACACTTACATAAATACTGCATCCTTTTCCACAATTTGAGCGGGTGAGTTGAAAGGAAACCCATACAATCTATGGACAATATATTTATATAATAAATCTAGATTTTTATTTTCCTTCATTGAAGTGTATATTAGTGCTGCGCCATCTGGTGAGCTGGGGTGAAGGAAAACATTTTCACAACGAACCCCTCCTGAACCCCTGCTATCCCTTGCAGAAGGGTCCCTAAAACAACGATGCCATTTCACACCAGCTGTATGACCGATCCCAGGTCATGTCTTGAAAGAAGCCAGGGTCCCGACTTCTTTCACACTCCCCACCCTGGCTTCCACGGCAAACTGGTTATGTGCGACAGGTTATTAAGCTACTCCTACGCGATGCAATATTAAAGCTCAATAACCTGAGCAAGTGGTAATGTGTCAATAGTTTAACAATATAATACAATTAACAACGCCATAAATAACTTCACCAGAGACTGAGGGTGCTTGTACGGGTTGGCCGCTGTCGTGTGCCGGCATGCGATCCTGCACAGACACTGGCCGATGCAATCATTCAGGTGTAAAAATTACTGAAATGTGAAACTTATAAAACTGGGAACGACACCTTTTAAACTCACCAGGCTTCTCTTTACTTCTCGTGTATAAAAACTAAAACGTTTTTCCATTCAGGAAGCGTTCCCTCACATGTTCAATCTGCATATTAAAATCCATTCTAAAAGTGTAACATCCTTACATTTTCAACAGACTGGGAACCGGTATTCTTAATATAATAAGTAGCTTCCTGCAACATACATGTCATTGGAATCTATGAAAGCCAGATTCTGAAAGGATACATTGCAAGCAAAACCGACGAATATGCAACTGAATGAAGTCGAAATGTTCATCTTTGTAGTCGTGTTCCTTTTCCAAGCTACTAATGGCATCGCACTGCAAAGGAGAGAAAATCCAAATTCCAGTCAGTCGCAAGTAAGCAGTGAAAACCATCACTAACGAACAGCTCTAAGACTGAGTGCACCCAATCATAATGTGGCTGTTTCTCAATATGTCAGACTCCATTTTGATTCTTCAAAGTGATGCTGCAGTTTATAAATGAAATGTTTGAATAAAAAATGTAAACCACTGAACTCCTTGACTTTGCTTTGTGCATATCTGTGTTACTTATGACGCTGAAAACTAGACACACAGGATTTGGTGTATACTGAATTAAAAATGTCATTCACCTGACATATACATATATGATGTAAAAAATAACGATACTAAAAGATATCTATCGTAAAACTTAGTAAAATATCAATTACAGCTTTAAATAATAAACAGGTTATGGTAAGAACATAAATGTTTTTCTGCTTTTTCAGTCACCCCAAAAGCAAATAAGTTGTCACATAAAACATTTTCTACTATGATAAAGCTCTTTAAGAGCTGTTATGCTGTCTCACCTTTGTGCAAACTACTATAACTGGTACACCGAGATTATGTGTAAGTGTATTTTCACCAAGAGGCAAGACAATGCTTTCATCATCTCCATCGGGCACAGACGGGTTTCTTCTCTGGGGAGAAACAGTGAGGTCAGCTCCTGGATCTGCATATTCCTGGAACTGTTTCACCACTGCATCAACAGGAAATCAGATTGAGTTAGCACACAATGGACACACCTGCTTCAGACAGACGAGTAACTACAGTGACTACGGGCAATGGGACCAGAATAATATTTTTAGAAAAAAATAAAATACTTCCAAGAATATTCAAAGAAAATTAAAAGTTATTTACTATGACCAGAAAAAAAGTCTCAGGTGAAACAGTCAATAGTTGATTGATTTCCTGCAGTAATTAAATGTGCCTGGAGATGCTGTGGTGAGTGTTTTGCTGACTTTGGATTTAAAAAGGTGACGTTAACACGTACGCAGACCAACAGACTATTACCAAGCAGTAGATCTGAAGGAAATATTACACTACAAACTGTCAGCAGAAGGAATGCTTTCCAGACTTACATTTTTGCTCCATTTCCTTCATCACTTCAGGTGGGATCTTCAGTTTGTCAATATACTCTCTAATTACACTGGCCCATTTCTGCAAAGAGTCCAGGGATGTCCAAGGTCTCGACATGTCTACAACAAACAGTACTACGGTATCTGATAAACTGTCAGTAGACACCGCAAATTTCTGGAGGCCTTTATGATACAGGTCACCATCCAAGATCCACGCATTACATCTGGTAAGATCTGGAAACGAAAATCGGGGGGGGGTTGAGGACTTTTTGTAGATCAAAAAACTTTTTTTCTGCAATCAGTTTAGTTACAATTATTTGTCCAAATGTTTGGACTCACCTGTCAGATATATCAAAGACCAAAATAAAATACATGACTGAGGCACAGTCAAAAAGGAAACTACTGCCTTTCAAAGTAATAAAAGAAAAGGTCGGATGACTGCAGGGCTGTGGTATGTGTAAGAACGGGGAATGTAAGTATTGTTTAATAATGGGTTCAATAATTTAAAGTGGACATAGGGAAACTTATTTTTCCACAGAGAGCGGTTATTGCACTGTCCAATTTGTCATCTATTGTGACAACAGTTGAGTACCAATCTCTACTCTGCACTAAGCTGAGCTGTTGTAAGTGACAGTGCGACAAAAGGCTCATTTCTTTTTAAGTAACACAGAAGACGTGCCTGTTTACGCATCTGTTATTCTGTCAAGGATATTTTTCACCTGAAACAGAAATAATGTAGTTTTACAGGGCCAAGGGCTAATGAGGAATTTCAGTTATTGTACTCGTAGCCTTGAACACAAAGTCTATTAATGGATTATTCTGAACACCCAAGCTCAGCATTTACCCAACTCTATGCTAAGAAATACTTTCATCCCGTGAACCAACCACATGGTACTCTGAGCACTGACATGCCAAGTGAAACACAGGTCGTTCATACTTACCATCGATGTCCTCATCATGCACACTGAAGTATAAGTACTCCAGACCTCTTCCCTTCATGTACTCTTCTATACCCTGAAGTTTCGCAATCAAAGTGGTTTTACCAGCCCCATCTTCACCTGAAGAAATGTACAACCAAGAAACATGCCCAGCAGTCACTCACTGCCTTTACTCCGAATAGACAAGCACAACTTTACAGTTGTGCTTCACAAAACAGCCTTACTTTTCACCGTGTAAGATTAATGAAACGAATTAGCATTTATAATACAATTAAACCTTACAAAATTCTACAGGCAGAAACAATTAATTATTTTAAGCGATTCCATTAAATTGCCATTACTAATTTAATTGTGGCTGCATTGCACATTCGTCCAAAACAAAAAACAAGAGTCATATAACTCTTATGTATCGCAAAACATAAGATACATCGATGTATACTTCATAAAGTAATGAATGAGAGGCTCAGATGAAGCGATGCCCACTGTTAATACACTGGCAGATTATCGTACATCCTCTAAAAACAGCAGTGGGGTGAACTTGCTACCTTGGAAGGGGTATTTAACGAGCTGACTGTTCAGTATTACAGAAAAAATAGAAGACGTTTCTACGACTACATCGCACCACACCGATCAATTGATGGAAATTATTTAACGGTCATAAAAAAACACAGGTTTTTGATCCGTGCACAAACTGTCCACGAACACGCTAAGTCTCTTTTAAGTTATCACAAAGAAAAAAAGAGCACAAGAGCTGTACAGTAGCGGATGCATCATCGTTAAGAGGGGGGTGAGACAACAGACCCAAGCCACGACAGCGAAAAGATAACAGACACAAGACACTCGTATTTGAAACGGCATCCCCTTAGCAGGTAAAAACGACACTTACCCATAACGAGGACGTTTTTCCCTGATGGCAATTTGGACCGGGAGTGCGTTGAAACCTCGCTCAGGATAGACGACCTGCACACAAACAGACAGCGCTGAGGGCGAACTGCCATTCAAACTGATGGGGCTCATCACCGCAACTGACCCACTCGCCTTCAGACTTTCCTGCCCCGCAAAAGAAAAACAAGAAGAAGGAGGAGGAGGAGAGGCTGCCCCGGCGCCCCGAGTATGTGCACTACTCACCACAGGTTCTGCCCGTCCTCTTCCCCGCCGTTGTGGGTCTCCGACCCGGCGGTGTTGACGGCCGGGTTGCTGGATGTGGAAGCTGATCTCGCCACGGCGGCCATGTTCACAGGCGGTCTGCGGCGCTGCAGCCTCCCACCGCGGTGCCCGGATGTGAGGCCTGGTCAAATAGGGGCGGTACGCGGAGCCTGTGAGGGGTAAGGTGTGAAAGCAGCCCTGACACTGTTCGACATTTATTTTGGTTATGTCCTATGGTAGAAACCTTCTGGATTGATTGGCAAACGTATATTAAAAAGGAGGCCAATGTTGTTTTTAGTTTTAAAGAAATAGATGTCATGTTAAATTTCAATCCCATAGGACATACAGTAATACAAGAATATCGTTTGAAATTGACTTAATTATTATACAGGTTCACATCGGTATGGATCCTCACTACTCCCGCCTCAGGTCGGCCTTCCACCACTGGGTTCGAACCCAGGCTTCCAGCATCACTCAACAGGGAACCAGCCAGGTGAGTTATAGGGAAATTTCCCCTGGACCTGCCGGCTGAGGTCCCTGCTATTCACAGGGAAGGGCAGTGACGTCATCACGCTGGCAAGCCGGCTTGAACAACCTGCAATGGCGGCCATATGCGTTACACTCTCCCCCACTTAATTCGCCGTTCTCAGTGAAGGGCTATCCCATCCCACTCCTGACACCAATCACAGATTCCCATCACAGATTGTTTCATAAACCAGCTCTAAATACAGCATATGGCAGCACTTGTGGTGGTCCTCTTCCTAATTTCCATGATGCTATGGTATATGCACAGCAACTACACACTTTCTGCTACAATTGTGGTCTCTGTGACCTCTTTGCTTAATATAGCCCACTTTAAATGAGCAAAAGGGGGCCGGATGGTGTTGTCTCTTTTGTACCCTAATGTTTTTGCAATACATTACAACTGCCATTTTAATGTATTTTTTTACCACTGCGCTGTTACTTGTCTAGTCTAAATACTGTATATATAGGGTATACAGTATAACTGGGGCTATCCATGAGCCAATCAGTCATTTATTCAAATGTAGTACCTGTAATTACAAACACCAATTTGGTATGATTAACAATGGAGATAGGTGGAAATAAGAATAAATATTTTCCTTCGGTGAATAAAAGTCTTGCACTATGCAGTTAGAGACAGGGTTCGAATTGTTGCTTCTTAGGGATCCACTGTCCACAGCAGTTGCTCTGCATGACTGAACCAGTATCAATTCGTTGGATCTGACTGCTATCCTACATCATTGCGAACAATTCCGTTATTGACAAATTGGAAGAAAAAAAAACTTGAAAACTATTTGTGAGAAGCCAAACCAGTGTTAAAAAAACCCGAGAGGGGAAGTTTAACAGAATCAGTTTTTATTCAGTCTGCAGGCAGCGGGACTGCACGACGACGGCACCCTCCATCACAGGAGCAATTCTCACAAATCAGCTAATGGCTTACATACAACCCATTCGCTTCACAAAGTTTGATCATTTTAGAAAAGGCCACTCATCCTAACAGTTGTTTTTACTATTACTATTACTGTCAGCATCAGTGGTCAAATTTGTTTTAGACATACAGTATATAGTAAAATAACCTTGGTCTCAATTAAAAAAAAAAAACAATCGAATGACGATATTGAGCAGGGGGCACATGATAAGACATGTGTGTTGTGATACGTGCCCTGTGCACATTTTTAAATTCAGTTCTAAAAGCGGCTCGGTTCTCAAGGGGAGTTTGTAAGAAACCCACAAGCCTGGGCAAAGGTACCCACTGCAGTGCTGGTAATGAACACAATGAACCTTCCCAAAAGGGTCAGGCTCTTTCTAAAACACATTCTAGTGTTTTTCTAATTAATTCAGGTTAATCATTGCTTCTCACCATCCCAGGCCAGTGGGAGGTATACACTTCATTTCCTCCACACTAGACTTACCACAGCATGGACAGCTCATTTTGGTACCCAATTTCTGGCCCCTAATGGACCTAATGCTACTGACTTAGACCATAAATTAACTACATGTGTAATTAACTGGTTTCACTTGCCATCTGTATGTTGTTTTTAATGCTTTTGATTTATAAAACTTGTGAGGACTATAAACATACAGTCTGCTGCATGACATCAAGCATTTACTGTTATTATCCCAATTCACAGTTATGATGTCCACACAATATAACATCCAGAAATCCATTTTTTTAACGAATAAAGTTATTACACTTGAATTATCCGAAAAAATAAGTTTATCATTTGCAAACAATTTTGAAGAAAGGCCCGAGTCAAATACGGGAACAGTAATAAAATGGCCAGCAGCGCCTTCTAGTGGTGAGATCAGTACATGGCACCTGGCTGTTTGGTCTTTTTAAGACAGCCGTGAGCCGTCTCAAGCACCCCGGGCACAATAGCACAATGATAAGTGATCGTTTTTCTTTCACATTACTTGTACATTTGCATCTTTATTTTTGTTTTTTTGCTTTGGATGCGTGGAACAGGTTGTGTATATAACGGATATTGTTGAATGTTAAACCTGCACATAAGCTTGAATACCTTTGCTAGACACTGTGTGTTCTTTCAGATATTAGTATTTGATCTGGATTGAAATATCACGGTAGAATCCTAAGTAGTGGGTGCATAAAGATCCCTGAACATGTTAACATTTGTAAAATATATTTTGTAAATACATTAGCAATAATCATTGAGTATGGCTGTGAAAAAGAACACAGAAGCCGTTCTTCTCCCTTTTGGAAGTCAAACCAGCTATTAACTTTAGTCCACACCATAGTAAATGAATTAGACATGTTTACTCTCAGGAAAAGCTATATCCGAATGTTGTGATGAAACACAAAATGACAAAATATATCCAGGAGATGTAGTGGAAAATGTGTAGATTTGTATGTGAGCAGAAGGATTTTCCATCCCAACTTTTTCTTGGCCAGAAAAATGACTATTTCACACAAGTTTCTCGAAAGAGGAAGACTCCTGTTTTTTCTTCGGATTATTATTTCATATACGTGACAGTCTTAGTATCGCCAACAAAGAGACAGAGCACATTTTCTTGAATTCTGACACAAGGACAAAGGGATTCCTCGCACTCCAAAGATCTTTTTACTTAATATACAGTATCTCTCCAGGGAATGTCACTGATGTTCAGAGGGAGTGTGCTTTCAAGATCCCTTTACCATCTGTATCTCATATTCTGAGAAATGGGCCCAGAGAGTACCTCTTTAAATTTCTGTGAAACATGCTGGCACATCTACAGAAATAAGAAATGCTTAGAGACTGGGTGTATAAAAGTCAAGTAACTGACTCTAAACTGTTGCTGTCAAGCATTCCAAATGAAATACAGTCCTCCTGAGAAAATAAACTGGGTCTTTATCACTAAAGTGTTTATTTAATTGTCCAGTTATCTCATTGGAAAGGTGGTGGGTTCAAATCCCATGTGGAGCTGTTACTCTTGAGCTGGTCCAGTACTTCAGTCAGAATGCTCCGCTAAAGTTCCCAAGAACCTATGCTTACAAAACGCCAAGATTTCTGTGAGTTGTTTTGCCTAAAAGCATCAGCCACATCAATTAATAACAGCCATTTAGAATGTGTCAAAGAGCTGTTGTACACGTGAGGTGAAGTGTGGAATTAAACTCTGAATTATGACACTTGACTGTTTTCTCAGCAAAACGCGCCCCTTATAACATCGTTATCTTCAAACAAGCAGGGCAGAAGTCACACGTTATCTGTCTTTCCTTCACATCCTGCAGAGGTGAATTATTTTCTTGAATCCAGTCATGAGGCTAGAGTCTCTTAAAAAAAATCTTTCATGCTTTTTGACAAATATTTTAAATAATCTATAAAACATAAATGTTGGTTTTCCTTTCAATTTCACTTCAGCATACTAATACAGCTGCCAATATACATTATATCATTGTAAATAAAATTGATTCTATTTCAGTGACATATGATAATGTCATATTTCTGCAGACTTAAGTTTACATTTTATTGAACTTTAATCAGCCTGTTCAATAACTAACCTCAGTAAAGTCCTGACATTTTGGAACATTTAAGATCTGGTCTGCTTGCAGGATGGTCAGCCCTGTGAAAGGGGAAAAGGAAATGTTTATACTGGCATTCAGGGCAGCTAAAGCTGCTGCTGTGTCTCAGATTGTAACAATTTCAATCTGCTAATTACTTGCTCGTATGAACCAATATAAGAGCTTCTCCCAGCTGCAGGTGTCTGTGCTTTAAAGAGACACACCAGCCTCTGAGGCCCAGGACGTGCCTGAAACTAGCCTTGTTCATGTCCCTGATTCTCCTCAGCTGCTAGTAAGAGAAGGAGGCAAGTTGTTTAATAATAACTAATGACACGCTGTCATACTTTTGTGAAATAAAACATGATTAAGTCAAACGCAAGTTGAAATTAGCAGTTCTGTAACATCCATGTTGAAAGATGTGTGTGTGCAGAACGTAATTAGCATCTTTTTTTTCCACTTGGATCCAGAAATGTGTAAAATAATCTCTTCCGAATTGGCTGCATTTTCTTCCAGAGGAACTGAAGCTACAACCACTGAATTTCATTATTTATATGCATCAATGCTATTTTAGGCTAAATAAAACTGTTACCATGCTTAAGTGATTTTTTCCATTAAATTGAAGGACAGGCTCACACAACTGAAAATAATGCTAATCTTGTTAGCCCATTTCATTCAAAACCCTAGTAATACTTACAGTTCATCTGGCAGAAACAATTTTCTTATGAGGTAATATGCATATAGATAAACTATTTAGTTCAATAGCTTTGAAAAAAAGACCTCAAATAACTATGCTTCTAGAAATAATTCTGAAATTGATTATCCTCTTACTAATAACAATAATTTTCTCTGACAAAATGAAAGATATTCGCAAAACAGAAAAGTGTTTTATTTTATTTAACATTTAATTATAAACTAGCATGCATATTTTCAATGTCTTAACCCATCCATCCATGAACTATTTTTTCCAATTCTGGGTTGCTGGGGAGCAAGAGTCCAGCCCAGCAAGCAGCAGGCACAAGGCAGGATTCACCCAGGACAGGACACCAGCCCATTGCACGGCAGACACACAGTAATGCACACACTTACAGCAGGGCCACTTTTCCCAGGAGCCAATTAACATACCGGTATGTTTCTGGACTGTGGGAGGAAACCCACACAAACGAGGGGAGAACATACAAACTGCACACAGACGGCACCCCAGGAGTTGAACCCAGGGCCCCAGCCCAGCAAGGGAGCAATGCTGATCACTGTGCCAACATGCCACCCTGAGTATCTTCATACATTAAATCATTACTAGTAAGTAGACATAATGGAAACACCAAGAGTACTCATACAAAACGCCAAAACAATTGAAACTGTTCTTAGTAATAAAGGCACTTCCAGTTTTTAAAGATATTACAAGGAAATGTGGCCCAGTACAGACAATGAGTCTCAAATTAAAAAAAAAATACATTACAAATAATTTTCCATTTGTGGGAATTCAATTTCATATTAAGGTCTAGGTTACATAGATCTCATAATGGGTAATTCCAAAAACATACAGTAAGTGGCTTGGAACTTTTTCCAGGAGCTTGCAGTGGGTTATGATGATGATGATGTATTCCCAGATGTTCTTAGAATAGATTACTGAACAACACATTACCAGTGATTTATGTCCAGAACAAAAAAAAAAAGAGCAGGTGTAGTAATAGTTGGTTTATTGTCATTTTTCCTATTATTTTTTCCTGCTTGACTCTGTTAATTCTATTCTTTGTCTTGTCTAACACTTCAGATATCATCAGTAAAAGTGAGGAACAAAAGGCATTACAGCTGTTATCATTCCACATGCCATTTGTCTAAACTCTTTCGTGAAGCCGCACCACACGGAGTTATGCTACCCTAAAGTGTAAATTTATTCAGAAGTGATTCTCTAACTCACTGTAAGCCGGAAAAAAAAAAAAAAACATGTAAGATTGCTGTAAAAAGGTCTTCTGAGAAATTTGTTTTCGGCACAAATTGAGAAAACAAGGACAGGAAGTGTGTTTGTGTTGCACAGGCTTTAGGTTCAAAACACAAAGCTGGGCTCGTCCGAGTCCCTCACCTCAGTCTGATAGTGTCAATCTAGAAAGACACATGATATCTACTCCTTCGTTAAGACTGTAGCGACTTCTAACTACTTTTGGCACTGAAAACTAATGCTGAATAATGGTTCACAGAAGCACTTGTATTCAACTATCTAGCCTATATCAGACTGTTCTCAATTACAGCATTGAATAGGGTGTAACAGAGAAGAACAAGCTTTAATGTGGCTTTCATTAAACTTTGGCATAACTCCAGGCCAAGCCTTTTAAGGGCTGATATCTGGTGAATGGGTGTAGACCACGCGTGTCTCATTCTGCGGTCTTCTTCTCCCTTTAACAGGCAGATTTCTGTCAAAGACACCTCTGACTATCTCACTCGGTGGAATTCTGAAGCAGAAGACTACCATCCTAGGAACATGTTGAGGAGTTTCTCAACAAAGGTAAAGCTCCAGTATTAATATTCAAGTCTAAGCCGGGATCTTATTGAGTTAACAGTACTGTCGTGCTAATGCTTGACCATTTCCTCTAGATGCAAGAGCAGCAGTGGGGTTATTGACACACTGTTACAGTAAATGTTCCTTCAGACCAATGCAATTAAGTTCAAGTGAACCAAATTAGACATTGTAGAGAAGATTTAATGATAGAACACAAAAAAAAAACAATTCTGTGTTCACATCTCACATCAAGACTTGGAAAGAATCACAACGTTATATATCATAAAAAGACAATTAACATTACAAAAAAAAAACACACAGCGAGCCTGAGAGAAATGTTCCACTTGACTGATTGTAATATAACCCCAGGAGGAGAGATTGAAAAGCATGGGTGTTTGCGAGCTGAGCCTCAGAAATGTTGATCTGGCCGAATTCTCCAGCTCCATCAATGTTCTCATCTCAAGCATAACAGGTGACAACAGCAAAAAAAGTTAGACTTCTGCATTTGAGGGGCTGGATATCTCTTGCATTGAAGTGTGTGAGCATTTAAAAACTTTGGATATGTCTGATATACTTTATATATCATAAAGAGTTAATAAGACTAAACAGTGCATTGCAACAGTTTGTATTTTGTAAAACTAAACTTAATGAACCCTATATAGACACAAGAGAAAGCAATTATAATAAATGTATTTGTTGTTGTTATATTATAGTTCGATTGCTATGATAATAGAGTACATAGTAGTAATACTGCAGTCACAGACGTTTTACAATAAGGGTCAATATTTCCCACTATGTGAATAAAAGCGATAAATACACCAAAGACTATAGGTCAGGCTGGCTTCATTTCTTATATTCAGTTTTGATCAATAGTATTTATTTGGACTAATGAAATCAAAAGCTTCAAGATGAGGGGGGAAAAAGCAAACCACTTTTCTGCCGAGTTGAGATTCGGAACCAAGTTCTCAGTGCGTCTGTCAGCAATCAGACGGTGCGCCTCCAGAGGGCACTGTTGGTAAAAGGCACGAATGTGCAAATTCTCCTCTTCTATGCTAAACAGCACCAGAAAGTCAGGCAGTGGAAGAATCCGAGAGACTATTCTTTTAACCATTCCTTCATTGAGGAGAGCGGCAGCTGAGCGCACTGTAAACCACACTCTGTTTACCGTGAAGTGGGTTGGTTCTCACGTCGCCAGTGATATAAACACAATGGACTGAGGATGGAGTTAGTTCTGCATGGATCATTCCGCTTCCAAACCCAAGCGCACTCAAATCCTGATCTATAAACTGGAAGTGACTGGGAATAATTTTTGCGCTCGCTGAAGGTGAGTTCTGCACTGTCCGTTCATTTTTCAGCGTCTGCGGTCATGCCGAGCGGCGCTTTACTCCTTCAGAGTGAAACTGTCATTCTTAAGCTTCATGTCTCATTTTTATACAGTCTATATGCATTTATGTGCCGGTAGATGAATATCATTTTTATATTATAAACAGTTTATATAACGATGCACATGCATTGCCGGGGTGATTTGTGAAAGTATGAACTTTTAATACTTTAATAATTCAGATTCATGTATCAGTTTCAGTCAAAGGGTGATGGATTAGTTGGACACATCTTGGACATTTGAATACACAAAATACCATACTTAATATTTAACCCATAAGGCGTTAGTGAAGGATTTAGTAAGATTTATTTTTTAGAGTTAAATGCTCCTATTAGTCGAAAGTTATTTGTTGGTTAAGGTGTAATATAAGAGAGAGATGTTTAAGGAACGCGATCCCTCTGACACTCGCAGAATGGATGTGTCTATAAATTATTGCAGTACAATTCTGCTGTAAAATTAATCACTGATAGTTGACAACAATACAAGAGAAAGCCTTATCACGAGCTCATTATCAAACCTCAGAAGATTTCGGCATAACAGAAAACCTTAGACTGTTAATACCACTTAAGTATCATACCAGATATTTTGCTACGTACACAATTCGCATTTATGTAAATTATTTTTTAGGGAAGCTGAAACTATGAACTGTGCCTATTGCGTTATTAGAAGTGCCTATTAGTACCACAAGGTGACACCGATTTGCCAGGTTGTCTTTTAAAAAGATTTTGCGCAGTAAAATATGCTACTGCCAAGCCAAGAAATATTCCGAATGGAATACCGTATTTTTTTTAAGTTAAACTAAAATGTTAAGACAAAGAAGCACACATTCTTTTATTCTTAAAAAAGTATTTGAAAGGTTGTATACGAAGTTATTAGCTCTGTACAACTTACATATTTAACCTCATATCGATTTCTACAAGTAAAAACAATTCAGTTTTTTTTTTTACTTGTAGAAATGGAAATGAGGTTAAATATATAATACTAGTTTGGGATCCCCGAATGAGGTTTCAGCGGTTATTAATGTAACTACCCGGGGGGAAACGCAATGGTAAATGTTTGAAAGATTTTCCAAGTTTTTTTTTCTCCTAATGCACATCCACAGAAGTGGATGAGAAAGAAGATGCTGATACAGTATCTACTGTATGTACTTGCTAGAGAGGAAACTGTACCCGTACTGTGCCGGAGCCGTACGTTTCGGTGCAGTGTGTATATGAAATGCATCAGTCTGATCACACTTTTTATTCTTTCACAATTACCTGTACGGGTTTGTCTTTGGTATTGCGTGCTTTGATGAAGTCAAATTTGAGAGAACCTTCCAGGCTCTTTACATATGCTACTGTATGCCAGTCTGTATACTCTGTTAAAAGCACCTTGGGAGCCTTGTTGTGAAAGGCGCTACATAAAAATAAATTGAATTGAATTGAATCAAAGTAACAAAATTGTGTCATTTTTGGTACAATCTAGAAAAACTTTACTGTAAAAGCCGTAAACTGTTTTTATATGTACCGATGCCATCGGGGCCATGCAACACAATTAGAAATATCAGACCACTTAAAGGTTTAAAGCCCCATTTTGTTCTCGGAAACGTCTGCTCTGAAGGGGAGCAAAGAACATTCAAACTTGTATAGCTTCACCGCGGAGAAAACAAAAAAAACCTCATGTGCATGAATGTTAATCTCGGCAGCTTCTGGACAAAATCGCACCCGGCTGACACACCGCGCTGTGTGTTTGAGAATGTGTCTATTGAGGAGGAAAATATCTCAAGAGCCGCTTGGCTTTCTGAAATGACCAACAGGGGGCAAGCAAACAGCGCAAAACAAATCTATGGATACAAAACTGTCTTTTAAAAGTTTATTCTTGAATAATATTGCATTTTTAAATTTAAATGAAAATAGGTGTTTAATGTTTTGTTTATTGGATTAATTATTTGTGGTTTTTTTTTGTTGGACCAGTAACTTTTAGAGGTGCAGTGATTTAGGAAGTCAAAGAAAAATACAGACTCTCTCCTGGCATACTGTACATATATTGTCTTCTTTGTATTTTTAATTTCTTTTTAATCTCTAAAAATACATAGTTTTAGTCACAGAAAACCACGGAGAGGGTTTTTAATTTTTTTTTTAATCATGCTTTAATGTTAAAAGATTGCAGTCTCAAAAAAGCTACATGAAGCATTCAGGAAAGCGAATGTGAAACTCAAATTTAGATGAGGCCTGTTTAACTTCAGCCATACATTTCTGTCTGATGGAAAAACAATCATTCTCTGGGGGCCTCTGGAATGTCTATGTACCCTTAATTAATTCAGAACGTTTTTGATGTGCGCACATCTTAAATGAATGCGCACATACCTGTGAATGACAACATCAATGCACAGGATAATACAAGCAACTTACCGCAACACTGGCACAGTAGGTCCTTCTTAAAATCATGTTATGTACTGGATATTATGAGCCAGTATAGCAAAGCCATTAAGGTTTCTGCTATTTTCTGCTTCCTGTCTGATAATGGAGTTGGTCAGAGTGATAATGGTTTGTTTTAGGATAGTGCTCTATCACACTATCCAAGCGCTGCAGGGCTCAAGTCGCAGTGGTGAGCATGGGATCATTGCAGGCTCCTGGCTGCACTCTTCTGCCGGTTGCAGAAACGTTTCCTGTTTTTCCCTATTGACGGTAGTTTCCAGGTTTGTGGTGTGGAACAGCTGCCCCTGAGCTTCGGGCCGGGCTTGAGCTTCGGGCCAGAGAGGGGAGGCAGGACTGATATGGGAAGCTAGAGTCAGCATGTTAAACTCTTCTGCTCCTCGCAGCGGAGGAGCAGCCCTGTCAGTCCCACAATTGTACTGCTTTTTCTTGTGCGAGAGTGTGGATTGGCTGTATGATAGTATACACCAGGATCTTTGTTATTCATATTTATTTTCTTTTATCTTTTTGCCTTTTGTGCTCTGTAGCTGTGGTTATTCAAACATGATACTATGGTTTCCCTTTGGTTTCACCAGCCCTCCAGTTTGGTTTCAGTCTGTTTTTCCAATTCATTCAGTCTCACAAAGCGGGATTTTCGGGCAACGTCTACACCTTGTCAGACAGGCTCGGCAAGGAGTGAAACTGACATTTTCTTGTTAAACAATAAAAGAGTTTCAGCTCCTTCCACTGTAAGTAAACAAAATTAGATTAGGCAGGAAATGTAGATGGTTTAGTGACTTTGGTACATTAGATGGAAATGTAAAACGTCCGATGATTTGATCTACATTGGATTATATCTCTGATATCAGATACACCGTAAATAAATACTTAACACCATGTACATTTTTTCCCACATGATTCAGGTGATGAAGGGAGTAGTCATAATGTTGACTTTATTTTGCCTTTTTTTTGCTAAGCAGTGAGAGAAACTCTGAAATATCGTCAGCTACTGTACCTCCAAACCCCAAGCAGCCATCAGGTATCGGAAGGCTCTACGGTATCAACACATCCAAGTTTGCACGTTTTGTATCAGAATGTGTTGCTGGTAATGCAAGATACCGCTCTTTCAGTGGCATGAGTGGTTGGCTCCCAGAGCAGACCATTGTCAGGAGAAGATTGATCCATTGAAACTCATTAACTGGAACGGTCCACAAACCTGTGTGTCTTCAATATTCAAAGGCTGATTAAGGGTTAGGGTTAGGGTATTATTCCAGCTGCTATAACTGGGATTGTTTTAGAATTGACCTGTTGTGGTGGTGATACTCCCAGGGGTTTCCACAGTTGCTCAGGGTCTTGTCTTGGGGTGCAGGGTTTGTTGCCTATTTGGGCTGTGTGGATTAGACTTTAGGAGGTTGGGTCAAAGGTGGACTCCACTTGCAAAAGCTACACGTGTGATATTAAAGTAATGCCATTTTTTTTTGTATTGCTTGAAACCTACACAGTGATTATGCAATATATTTATCAAATTAAACTGACTATTCCAACAAGCTGCAATGTTTTCATACATTTGCATTGGAAATTTGCATTTAACCTGTTTTTCTCTATCATCTAATAATATGTCTATGTTCCAGAATGTGAGTAAAGAGGAGATGATGTATTACCAGAACAAAAGGCAATATGTACAAATTTCTCACCCTCTCCACTGTAGATATGTTGTACTTGCTGTGCTCCTGACAGGGCGCTGCTTCTTGAATTTGTAATTCGTTTGCACAGGAATATTGTCCCCAGCTTTGCTTAGAAGCGCAGGTCCTCCCATAAGAATCATTTTCTCTTTCCCTCTTATTACCATCTTATCATCGTGTTACATTACTGTGCAGTTCTCTCTTTTTTTATTTTCGTCTGATCTTTTCAGTATACATAAAAAAAAACTTGGTTCTTCTTTAATCTAACAAACCCGCAAGAACGAGAAAAAGCGACTAAAAAACCAAAAACAAGAACAGTCTTTTGGGACTTCAGTTTTTTTGTTCTGTGTTTCTTTCTAGTTTAGAACTGTTTCTGAAGTGAAACCTTTCATTTAATTGTTTCTGGACTTGTAAAACTGTTATGCAAATATGCAGTTTTGAATCAAAATATTATTTTTATTGCTTGATTGAAATAATCTTTCCCAGACTTGATAAAGTTGATGGTAAATGAAAAAGAGATCATGATGAGGTCCTGACTGGTAATCTCTTGGCTGTAGGAAACCAATCTGGATCTTGAAAAATGTTCTTTGCCACCATAAGTATCCATCGTCTTGTGCATTACAGCAAGCAGATAGAGTCTTTGACAAACCGAAGAAGACTACTTCTCAATGTGAGCAAAAAATGATATGTAGAGATTTTGGAATATGTTATGATGTTGTTCTGTAATATTTACATTTTAATACTAGTATGATATTCATGTTGCCCGCTATATCTTAAGTATATTTTCATTTTAGATGGTAATAACTGCTTTAAATGAAAAGTTCTTAGGGCTGAAACCTCCTTGGATTTTTTCACGGCCAGCAATGCA